TTGAATATTTTCATTTGTCGAATGTTTAATTACGGTCTGGCAATTTGCCTTAAGGCACAATAACACCCACTAGATAATATAATTATCATTCATGATATTGTGGTGATGAGTAACATTCTTCTTTAAGCTATTCTGATGCTCGAACTGTTGCAACTTCTTAGGCGTAATTTTTATTTTAACTATTTTTAAATAATTTTTTATATTTAACTTTTTTTTAATAAGTAAATAGTTGCCCTTGTATACAATGTCCCTTTTCGGCCGACTATTGTATTGTATTCATGGGCCCAACATGCCCTTGTAGTATACAATATCCCTTTTCGGCCGACTATTGTAAATTCATCAAATTTATTGAATGTCCTTTACTGGACAGTTGTAAATAAAAGAGATAATAAAAAAAATAAAAAAACATTTAGAGCTACGAAAGCTGCTTATAAATAATTGTAAGGAGCTCAGTTGAAGATATACCCCTTATCAACTTTAATTCAAGTGGCAAGGCCCTTTTTTGGACTCATGGTTATAAAAGTAAATATTTGTAGATGTACAAAAAGCCTCAAAAATTATTTATGTAGGTTGATTGTTACTAGACAATTATTATTTCATATAAATGAAATGGCTGACTATAAAATAATTTACTATTATAAAAAAATATTCTAGACAGGAAGATCATTGTTACAACTAACTTAATATTTTTCTAGAAACTCTTACTCGCCCAATGCTATCTCAAAACACACCTATGTCAGGTCACTCGAAAGTCAGAGTACCTACTTTCTTTATACTTGTTATAATGGGGGTACCGCAGTATGTAATTTACTTGAATTCCCTGATTGATTGAAAAAACATAAATGACTGAATTTTGCATAAGTATAAAATATAAATCAACCTTTACTACTGCTGCGGAATGTTTTCTCTTCAGAACTTGCACCTCGCCCTGAGATTCGGCTAATTTGAGTTGTATCTTTTCTAATGATTCAGTTTTACTCGCCAGATGTCTGACTAGAACATCACGCTCATTTTTATATTTAGTTTGCTCGCTAAGCAGATCTTTTTGCAGAGCTGTCATCTTCTGTGTTTGTTCATTTAATGCTAATTTCAACATATCTTTCTCAGTGCAATGACCTAATACCTAAATAAAAAATAATGGATCAAATTACAATCACAATGCAAACTTTCTAGTTTATATATATATATATATATATATATATATATATATATATATATATATATATATATATTTTATATAATATATATATATATAAATTTTAACTTTATACGTAATTTGAATTTTATGAATCAATCAATTCAATTTTGTGCTTTAGAAAAATTTTAGTACTACATATAAACATTATATATTAATTATTTAAATAATTTTATTTTATTTTTTTAATTATTATTTGGTATTTTATAAAATACAAAAATAAACCAGCTGTAAGTGGCATTGAAACGATTATAGTGCCCCTATACAAACTGTTATGTTATAACAGCGCGGCTCATTATTCAAACTTTTATAATTTATAATAATAATTTTATAATTCAACCACTTTACGTAGGTGAGTATTTTGGGGTGTGTGTTTAGACCATAAACTATTATCTCCGTTATAAATTTCATTAAAAAATCGAAAAAAAAATGTTTTTCAACATTTAATTAAGAAGTAACGACCCGATCGACATATACTAAGCAGCTGTCTTCCCAAATGATATCTTTAGACTAGTTTTTGAATTTCTAAAATCGGTTCTGATATTTTTACGAGAACGTGAACAAAAAAGTTTGCACTACCTTGGTTATTCTAAAAAAATAGACTCGGTCGATCGTCTCTAAATCAACAAAAATGTATACCCGTATAAAGGCATCTTTCAGCTATATTTTTAAAATAATTACAAGTAAAAATATTTAATATAGAAAAAGTAACAGCCGATCTGCGGAGGAAAAATCTTCGGTTAATCACTAGAAAATATATTTAAGAAGATCCTGTCAAAATGTAAGGCTAATCGGATTAGCTGTTTTCTAATTATATTGGTCACCGATTTTGAAAACACCATTTCGAGAAAAACGCGTTTAAAGTTTGAAAAGCAATTGCATGGTATAAAAAAACTGTTTTTTCATTTTCCATGGTGTCACCTATTGCAGGGCCATATGAAGGAGCCTCCACCGATTCGCAACTTCTAATAACTCGAGCTGGTGTTGTCTGCGAGCCATTCTTTCATCTCGGGTGCTCTCTAAAATTATCTCGCGCTGTTTATCTTCTTTTTGGGCATTTGAATGCGTATTGAGCCCAAATTGTAATTTATATTGCCTTCATATAATTCAGTAGTGATTCCATTATTTCATTAAATATGCCGTTGGTTATGTATGCAGCGTTTTTCACAGTTTTCGAACCGGTCGAAAAAAATTTCACATTTTACATATTCAGAAATTGATTTAAACACTGTTATAAAATTTAGAATACTAATTCGACTAAACAGTCAAAAATGTTTGTGAATTGTTGTCAAAAATTACATGTAAATAAGTCTTCCTGTTATTTTTTATATATTTTTGCTGGATCACTAACTACTTTCTTCGGTCTCAGCCGTGTTTTCCTTTTCAAATTTGCGTGTAACTTGCGAAAATATTCACTAGAATGATATAACTTTTTTGTGTGTATTCTTAAATTTATATACATTGAGAAAAAAATAAAAAAAATAAATTTTTAGAAAATCCTAAGTGTATATAACCCCTTAAAGTAATTAAAAGTTTGAACATTTTTTTTTTTGAAATGGCTTTTAAATTTTTGAAATCGGTTCAACCGTTTTTGATGCTACATCGACAAAAGGTCAAAATCGGCTCACTTACATACACACACACATACTTTTACCAAGTATAATCTCAAACGATTAAGAATGACTTGAAACAATCGTGAAAATATAAATTAGCAATTTGGAATTTTTATGAAAACAAACTTTTCTTCTAGGATGTTAACAATGTAAAATCAATTCAATTAAAATTATTACATTTATAAAATACAAAATCAAATATCCAATCTGCAAAATGTAGAGATAAAAAAAATTTCTTACCATAGCCTCTAAAGATGAAAATTTTGATTGAAGTGCAACATTTTTTCTGTTACTGATTTTGTAAATTGTAACATTTCATCTTCTTTCTTACGACTTTCTGCTAATTCAGTTGTTAATTCTTCATATAGCGTTTTAAACTTTTCAATTTCTTGTTCATTATTCAAGATAGTAGTCTGCGCTCTAAAGAAATTTAAGAATTGATTTTTAGTATTGAATTTGAAACACAAGGAATATATATATTTGTATTACTTACTCAAATATTTGCTTATGTGCAATTTCTAACTCTTTGCTTCTAGTTTCTTGATAATTAAGTTCCTTTTGTTCTATTTCTAATTCCAATTCAGTAATCTGTTTCAATGAAAAAAATGTGGTTAGTAAAAAAAAAAAATCAGATTTATATTTTCCAACTTACTCTTTGAGTTAGTTCAGCAATACTCTTTTTAGCATTTTCATTATCAGAAGTAACTTGAGCAAGTTGTGATTGCAATTCATTGCATTTACTATTGAGATCATTATTTTTGTGTCTTTCTAAAATTAATTGAGCCTGAGATTCTGTTAGAAGTTTTCCTATAAAATTTGTGCAAAAATTAGTTCTTGAAACAACAAATATTAAATATTCGTTATAATTAATATTATAAATTATTCTCAGTTGTTCACTACTGACCTACTGAGACTAATTTTTGTGAGTCTTGAGAAGCTTGTTCATTACTTTGTATATTTTCCTGTAGTTTATCTAACTGGGCACGTAATTGGCCACAATTTTTTTCGACAGCCTGCATAAAAAATAATATCAAGTTAATTAATAATAGTAATATAACAATAAATACATAAAACATGATTAATTAATTTGATCTTTAAACTTACTACTCGAGATTCGACTTCTTGTTTATAGCTATTTAATGCAGCTTTTAATTTATTCTGTAAAATTCCACATTCTAATTTAATTTGTTCCTTTTCCTTGTTTGCATTTAGTAACTCATGTGTCTGGAAAATAAGATATTTAAATATTTAATCCACAACTTGAATAAATTCTTTAATAATTTTCTTGTTTTTTTCTTCAACATTTTATTTTTCAAGGTATAATTTTTTTCTGTTATTTTATTTTCATATGATTTGTTTCTTGTATAAATTTTTCTATGCCCAATTATTTCTGTATAATGTTTCAATATTAAATATTTTATATTGAATTTACATACATAATATTCAGCATTCTAAATTATTCAGTTTTCTTATGTACAGTGGTATCCCGACACACAAGTTTAATTTGTTCTGTAACTAAGCTCATATGTCGATTCGTTCATATCTCAAAATAATTTTTCCCATAGAAAAACATTAAAATGCCATTAATTCGTTCCATTACTGTATTTATTGTTAAGTTTTTTTAATTATTAAATATAAATTTACTATTTACTGTTATAATTATTGTTTCTTCCTTTCCATTCAAAATGAGTTGGTCTCATACTCAAACTGTTTCAACTTTTTTGACATTTTTATCCACAATCTTTTAGAGCTTAGAAAACTGCTTATAAATTATTGTAAGGCCATCAGCTGGAATTCTATCCTTTATCAACCATGAGGAAGTGTTACGCTCGTACATTCTCATCATCCTCATATTTAACTTCATGAAGGAGAAGTTTGTTTTCATCAAAAAAATCGATTCGCTATTTTTATTTTTTCTCGACGTTTTAAACCAATCTGAATCGAATGAGACCAAATTTGTGAAAAATATGTGTGTATGTGAACAGATTTTTTGCCGTAAATCGACGTTTTCTCAAAAACGGCTGGACCGATTTTAAAAATTTAAAAGCCATTCGATGTATCTCGATGAGGACTATCGAGTTTTGCACTACGATCGGTTGAGCCGTTTCTTTGTAAATCGCAGAAAAGTGAAAGATTTTTCATCCACCGAGCCGTTTTCTTGTAATTAACTGTTGAAAAAAAAAAATTTAAGCCGATTTTTATGGAACTTTTTTGGCGATATATATCATGGTCTTATAGAACTTACTGAAATATTACGGCCTTACGACAAGTAGTTTAATTTAAAAAATTTATCAAAGCTTGAGAAAATGAGTAGTTTTTTTGACGTTTGTTAAAATTAAAATTAGATTTACTTGGTATAATGATAGAGTACCTGATCTTAATAAACATACTAAACCATTAAAGTCCTACGAAAACTGGTTCAATTATAAAAATTGTTGATTTTTGAAAATTCGCATTCAGAAAATACTTCGAGTTAACGGCTTCATTCGTTTTCAATTATGTGTAACAAATCCACTCGTAATACTTTTAATCACTCATGAATTAATTTATTTTTATTCATTAAGTCGATTATTTACACATATCGAGAAGTTCATGTAACTTACCTCAAAGCAAAATATTAATACCAACTAGTTTCCAATAATTTCATACTTTAATTCAAAAGACATGATCATTTTTTTGTTTGGACCCACGGTTATAAAAGTAAATATTTTGTAAATGTACAAAAACGAGAACTCAACATATATAACTATACAATAAAAATTGATATATTGGCATGGGTAAGTCGCTACTACACAATTAATATTTGTACATAATTTAAATGAATGACAATAAAAAAAATTGGTATCATAAAACAGTCAAATTATTTCTGTGGCAGGAAAATCATTACTAATCTTTGTTACAACTGACAAAATTTTTCATATTTTCATATTGTCATTAACATTTTTCAAAAAAACTCTTACTTGCTCAAAGCCCGTGTCTCAAATTTTGCTCATATGTGGAAACAACGAATCACTACTTTGGCGGCTCGTATTTCAAAACACTCGTATGTCAGGCCGCTTGTAAGTCGGGGTACCACTGTAAATCTAAATTACAATCCAGCGCATACCTTTGCATCTAACAATGAACAAATTCGAGTCTTTTCATTATAAGTCCGTTTCAATTTCGATTCTAGTATTTCATTTTCCTTCTTTAACTTGTCAATATCTATATTTGATTTTTCACTAACTGCAAATCTAACTACGGCTTCTTCCTTTTCTTTGATAGCTTTCTCTAGTCGTTTCCGCAACTAAAAATAATGCATTAAGTATCAGAAAATGTTAATTCACAAATCGAAATAACCTAACAATTAAATTGCAAATATATAATATAAAAATATAAAATTAAATTATCAAGTCCCGTACATTTGAAATTTTGATATCCATTTCATATTGTTGCTCCTTAAACAGAGCTTCTGCAATAACTGAATCATCCTTTAATTTTTTAATCTCTTTCTTTTGAGTATCCAATTCACTTTCTAACTTCTGGCAATTTTGTATGCATATTGTATGTAAATTCTCGTCTGGTACATCTTCCTTTTCGCCATTTGCAGATTCAATTGATGTACCTTTCTCTAGACATATGTAAAATTATTAGTTTGTTAATAATTGTATGTTTAAAAATTTATGATAATAAAACTTGTAACATGATAAGTTTCACAAATAAAAGTATTTGTTTATTAGTAATAATAAATATCACTTATTAAAATTATTCAGCATCTGATATAACTTGTTAAGCATATATGACTATATAAAACACATATTTAAATTATTAAGAAAAATCTATACAACTATAACTTGTAAACAATGTTTTAACAATATAAATCAACCAAAAAATCCTTTTTGATCAAAATAACAAATTTGATAAGAATAAAAAACAAATAAAAATGGTTTTGCATACAGACTAAATAAATTTAGATTGAACATAATCTAAACAAAGAACTTCGAATGATAATTGAAATAATATTTTAATTAATTCTAAATTATGCTCACTTTTTTTATTACTAAGTAATTGACTTCTGAAACAAGTAAATCTATTATAATAGAAAATAGATATCACTATTGCTTGACACAGGTTGTTCAAAACGTGGAATTAAACCTACGATTTTGTGGTTGAACGACTAGAACTCTGCAAATTTTGCCACTAATTTTCCATTTAAAATTACTAACCATTTTTTGGGTTGATTATTATAATAGAAAGATAGTTGTTATAATATTTGTCTATATAGTTTAAGAAAATATATGTGTAAACTACATTTTTAGATGTAAAATTCAATTATTATTCAATTCAGAAATTCAGAAGTTCCTTCAGTTCTAGAGTAATGTTTGAGATAATTACAGTAAGTACTAAAATTAAGAAATACGAATTGATAGAGTATGCTAGTAAAGTAAGATTAATTTATAAGTTTTTTTTTTTTTAATTAGGATTTCAGAAACACCTGTTTATTTCGATGATGTGCATACTAACCAAACATTAAGTTACGTAATAACAGAACTTTGGAAATACCTTCAGTTAAAACCAAATTTGTTTCACGCGCACTCATGTTCAAAATATCAAAAATAATAAATGAATTTGCTTCTGAGATTGATATCTTTGGCCTGTCGGTGACAAATATGAAAAATCAAGCCAGAAAAATTATCCTTAAATGACTGACTTAAGTAGTGATTTATAGTTAATTAAATGTTTAATTTTATTAGTTTTTATTTGATGTTATATATTTGTAGTTATGTATAGTTATATAATATTAAGTGTTATGTATATATCTAATATGTATATATCAAGCTATCTATGAACTCTTAATACTCAATTTATCTCACATATTATCTTTAGTTTATAATTTGTACTCTTTAAAATGTAATTATATTGTATTATTGCCTTGGGCGTTGAATAAATAAATAAATAAATAATAAATAAATAGATAAATTATTGTTGTATTATCAATTAATTGAATATAATTAAATTGTGTGCAGCGGTTACGGAATTATGTCAGGAGCCCATTTTTAACACAAAATCAAAGACAAACTCAAGGTTTGTCTTTAGGAAAAGCACCGACAATTTCTACAAATGAAAGTCTACAATGTAATACGATGTTCTAAATTTCTTACAATTAAATTATCCATTTTTAACAAATCTTTTACATTTTTCACTTTGATGTAATATAGTACATTTACCTTATGTACTTAATTTATTTTATTAACATTTGATATAATTGAAGAAATAATTGTTAAATGACATGATAAAACTACTAAATATTGACAAGGAAGTTTTTATTCATGGTATCTGTTAATTTTTTTTATTAAATATTTAAGAATTTTTTTCGGGATTCTCTCTAATTTTCAGTATTAAACATTTAATATGTAATTAGAATATAATATATACTTATTAAATAGATAATATTATTTTTTAAAATACTACAGAAAAGGCGCTAGTTATAATCGTATGTGGATATTCGATTTTTTAAACCAAAAGTTTTATGTATTGATCTTTACTTAAACATAAAATGATTCATGATACCTGCATTTTCGTTGTTAATATTTACGGAATGTATTTCAAGCTTCTCCAAACCATTTTCCGACTTAATCAAATCATGTTTGAATGAAGTAGAATTTGTATTTTCAGGAACAGATTGCAATTCCATTGCGGATACAAATGTTACGCAGATTTATTCGCTAAACTTTGATCTTATTCTAATACTAACAGATAAATGTATTTATAATCCATTTTCGAATTTTCACAACAAATACTGATAAAATAAAAATATGAATTTATAAAACATATAAATATGAATAATACATTCCTACGACATCGTCAACAATAACGAACAACTGTCACTGTCACTTGTGCTATGTGACACTTTGTCGTTGACACACAAAGCAGAGATGTCAGGTCAGTGCAGACGTAGAAAATAGAAGCACTGGCGCCCCTGACGGTAGTTTTGTGCAAATAATGGCGCCAAAAAACGAAAAACTAGTAGCGCGCATGGCATCGTGCCTTAAGGCAAATTGCTGGAACTTTCCGTACCAAAAATTATTATTTTTTTAGAAAAGATTTACATTTAAAAAAAAATACTTTGAAAAAAATAGATTTTTGAGAAACTATAAATTTTTGACAAAAATTTACTTTATAGAATAAATAACTTTCTTTCTTTATTTTGAAATATTTTGGAAATTCAGATCTTTTTTTTAAAGCAATCATACTGCTTTAACTGCATAGAGACGAAATATCGGAGCGATAAACATTAATGTTTATCGCTTCGATATTTCCGTACCAATTGGTACGGAACTCATAGAAATGTGAACAAAATTTATTCTTATTATTAAAATCTGTATGAAATATCTGAGAATTTGATGTGCATATGTCTAATGATCATTTTTGACTGCCAAATGGCGTTTTTTTTTTAACTTTTTTTAGAGGATCTTTTTATCGAAATCGCTAGAATTGCCTTCAATACAAGTAAAATGTTATTTGAATTATTAAAATTAAGCGCTCCGTTCTCTTAAAAACTGGGTTACCGTTTGCGGCACTTTTTGCTCCGTATCTTCAAAACGGCTAGACCTGCCTTCACCAAAAACTAATCAGCACGACCCATTATCAATACAAATGGAATGTTTTTTGAATTATTCAAATCGGTTGATCGGTGTTCCCGAAATCGTCGACGAAATTTTGTATCCGCACGCACACACACACGATTCGTGCACACGAGCGTCCGATTTTAATAATTCAAAAAGCATTTTACTTGCATTGACAAGATGAAAAATTGATCAAATTTTTATGAAGGCAGATCTAGCGGTTTCGGAAATCTAATGAAGAAAGTAAAGAAAATGCCATTTGGCGGTTAAAAATGATCATTAGACATATGCACACCAAATTATCAGATATTTTATAGAGATTTTAACAATAAGTATAAATTTTATTTACGTTCCTATGGGTTCCGTACCAATGTTCATCCGTTAGACGGCGACGCGTCGTTTACGCGCTTTGACATTTCGTCTCTATGCAGTTAAAGCAGTACGATTGCTTTGAAAAAAAGTTCAGAATTTCCAAAATATGTCAAAATAAAGAAAACATTTTTTTTTCAATAAATTTTTTTTTTCAAAAAAAGTAATTTTTTGTCAAAAATAGTCAAAAATCTAATTTTTTCGAAGTAAAATTGTTTCAAAAATGTTAATCGTTTTTAAAAAATAATAACTTTTGGTACGGGAAGTTCCAGCGTTAAGGCACGATGCCATGTGCCCCTCTAGTTTTACAATTATTCATATGGCATTGAAATTAAAACCTAAAAACACCGCGTTAGGTGTAACTTTATGCGCAAACAAGTGGGAGCTGCCGGACCCTTTTATTGAGTATTGGACTAAAAAACTATATAAACTATTAAAAATTAATTTATTTTATTATTTGACAATATCTATAAGTTTATTTAACTGCTGTCATTAGTTTTGTTCAACTTAAAGTCACAAAGCATGATTTCTAGAGACCAGTACCAGTCATTTTGGCTGGCATTGGTAAAAATAGGTATATTCAAATGGCTGGTATATCTAGTGTTAATGAATAACTATAATAAAAAGATATTAAGTAAAGTAAAAAGAAGTCATTTATTAACTTCTCGTAGGGTAATCGCAAAAATATTGAAAATGAAAATTATAAAAAGTTTTATGTACACGTTTTAAAAATCAAATTTTTCAAAAATGTCAAAACTCAAAAATCTATTTTATTTTTCAAAGTTTAAGGGGGAGCCTGCTTTAGAGGCTTGAAAAAGGCGATTTTTTTACAAAAATGTCTTTCAAAACTGGCCAAGAATATATTCCTATAATTTAAGAAACAAATTCAAATTAATTTCGGAATTACAGAAGAAAAAGTGAGCAAGCGTCAAGCATGCACAGTTAACCCTCCGTTAACGCGGCAAGTGCGTACCGTGCAGTATGGGACCGTTATATAAAAACTCGTATTTAAAATACAATTCAGGCTAATTCGCAGTGCGTTTAATGGAAACTTATATAATTTTATGGGAATCGTGCTATGAGAGACTCAGGGTTAGTACAAATCGCCCCATTTTTATCTAATTTTATCGTGGTGTATGGAGACCAAGGAATACAACTTGAAGTAGGAGTAATACGAACAAAATAAAATGTAATGACATAGACACCTTATTCAAAAATTGGCGTGACGCAGAAGTCAGCTATTATATAATCAGGCATGTCTAAAAGATAAAAGTCGATAACAAAACTTACCTTAAAACCTATCAAGTTTCCTTTTGATATCAAGTTCCTAGAATCACTCATAGGTTGCTCAAGAAACTTATGGGCTGTTGTACAAAAGCCGTGTAATAGGAAGTCCGTGTAGTCGTGGAGATGTCGGATTTTTAGCTCCGCGTAGTATGGGAACCGTGTACCCAGAGTGCCGTGTTAACAGAGGGTTGACTATGAGAAGAACTAAAACTTCGCCGCGCGATTTTCTCGGTTTTTAATTTTTTCGATTCTTCCTAATTGGCACTCTTCCTAATTGAGAAAAAAACTAAACGTCCTATCGAAACGAGACAAAATTGTTTGTATTCAGAATTAAATTCTTTTTTAGTTAAACCTAAAAAATCTTAAAAAGTTATAATTAACCCACTTTTAAACAATCTAATGTGAAATTTGTGTCAAAGAACATGATTTTTTTTTTCAAGCGAAAAATGAGTGAATTTCTCTTTTTTTCTGGATTTTTCAGGTTCAACTAGAATCTATATTTTGGAAATATTATATAAATTTGTCTTGATTTTTTGTTTCGAATGGAAATTGTGACCTGCATCTTTCCCGGCAAATGACATTTGCACGCTCGTGGCGCATCGGCAAAATGCTTGTACCCGGCATATTATGACTATATTTTAATGAAAAAAATGAGAAGAATGTTAAATATATAAGAATAAAACCTGAAAGTTTCGTTACAATTAAATATTTAGTTCCTTTCCTAAAAATTTCTCAAAAAAAGCGATTTTTGAAGCCTTTAAAGCAGTCCCCCCCTTAAGAAAAATTTTAAAGCTTTTATAAAAATTTTGGCACGGAAAGTTCCAGCAATTTGCCTTAAGGCACGATGCCATGCCCACTAGTTTTGCAATAGATGGTCTTAATTATCTGTATCTCAGTGTATAATTCCAATTGAGTAAGCGGCGCTAGGAAGATGAGATTTAATACTGAAAAATATTTTTTGCCAGTTTTGTAAATGATTGATTTAGTTTTGTTTGAGCGCGCGTCAAAAATGAACACTAGCAAAGGGAAATACGCTCTATTTTATCTTTCTATTTGATAAAGGCAAAAACGCAAGCTAGGCGACCGAAAATATGAACAGTGTTTACTGTCCTGATACTATAACAGTCCATTATGCGCAATTTTGATGTCGTCGGTTCATTCGGATAATTTCGATATCAAGACGCATCCGCACTCAAATTGTCGAAAACGTCGACAAAATAATATAGTCCCACAATCATGTAAGTCGATTTTAATGGCCATAGAGTTAAAGACTGCACACAAAACCGTTTGGCACCATTTGAATAAGGCTCGATGTTATGGGTGTCACACGAAAATCTACTGTTAAATACTCTCACTGTTAAATCACAAAGAAAATCGTTTCATTTTTTAAGCGGTTGGTGACTGGTGATAAAAAGTGGATCAATTACAAGAAAAGCGAAAACTATTCCAATCGAATCGCGGCAAGTCGGTGGAAACGGTGGCTTATCTAGGATTGGCATTTGATGGAATTGGCAGGTAATTATTCACAATGATGCTGCTCTAACAAGGAAAACTTTTAACTAAATAATTTACGATCAACAATTGAACGTTCTGAGAATAATAATTCGATTTAATGCCATAGAGTTAAAGACTGCACACAAAACCGTTTGGCACCATTTGAATAAGGCTCGATGTTATGGGTGTCACACGAAAATCTACTGTTACAATACTCTCACTGTTAAATCACAAGAAATATCGTTTCATTTTTTAAGCGGTTGGTGACTGGTGATAAAAAGTGGATCAATTACAAGAAAAGCGAAACTATTCCAATCGAATCGCGGCAAGTCGGTGGAAACGTGGCTTATCTAGGATTGGCATTTGGATGGAATTGGCAGGTAATTATTCACAATGATGCTGCTCTAACAAGGAAACTTTTAACTAAATAATTTACGATCACATTGAACGTTCTGAGAATAATAATTGGCCAGAAACGGCAGCTTGGCGCAGAAGAAGAATTGTTTTTCATCAGGACAACGCCAGACCACACACCTCGATGGTGACCTGCCAGTAGCTCCAAGAGCTTGGTTGAAAGGTTCCTATGCATCTATATTATAGTTCGGACCTGGCACCAAGCTATTACTATCTATTCCTTCAATTTCAAGCAAAAATAAATAACTTTAAAGCCTAATTAAGTAACTGGTGTAAAATTATAGATTATTGACGTTGAATTTAAAATGCGTTCCATAATTCAATTCAACAAGTTTTAAAACCAAAGAAAAAAACAAATAATAAACATAGTTACTTTTGTAAAAGACTTTGGGGCTATTGTCTATACCAAGTTCAACTTCTCAAAACTATTAATGAAATCACCTTCCTAGTTTTAGAACACTTAGTTCTCTGAATGATAAGCATCAGGGGTGATCGATATTTTTCGCGACAAACTAAATTGAAAAATATAATGCGAAGCCAATAATCTAAGCACACGACAAATTACTTATCATATTTTCTGTCATAAGACAGTAAATGATTTAACAATAGTAATGATTTCACTATTGAAAGCTCTAACATGATTGTTGATTATAT